CATTCCAAAGCTAATTAGCATCTACATTGTGGATATGGCATGTGTGTCTTATAAATCCACTCACTCCTTTTCACAGTACCCTACCCCTCGCATATGCCTAGTTTGTACATTTCCATGGGCTCAGTGTAGAAGTGACACTTGATGTATCAAGTGATGGTTTGCATGACTGTGGAAAGTAAGTGGAATTTGACTGAAAAAATTTGGGAAGTGGTAAAAGAAGAGTTTTTCCTCCGAGTTCAAAGAGGGAAATGGAACTAAATGAAAATTTGAATGACATGAGAAAGTGTTTTAGTTATATCAGGAGGACAAGCAAAACTAAGTTACACGTCTTGTCTCCCCAACAAAAGTGTCTCAAGGGACAGAGACTTTGTTTTATAGTATTGATGTCCCCAGAGTGTGATAGATATCACTGCAAATGTAAATATCACTGCAAAATGGCAATTTGTGGGCCAAGAGAAGAATTGTTGCCAATTTGGCTTAGCTCCCTGGGGACTATCGCACTTGACCCAGAGTTTAGTGGGTCTCAGGTGTACTTAGGAAACTTCTCTTGCTCCCAGGACACAGAATCCTAGATCCTCCTCACTGTCCTTGAGATGCTTAGAAATGCCACAAGGAACTTAGAACTACCTCAATCCTTAGAGAGTTCCCAAGACAGAAACTGGCCATCAAAAGTCTCTTAAGGCCTGAACACTCCATCCTTAGGGTGGATTCTAGAACTCTGTTGGAGTCCACCAGGGTAGTGCAAGAGGTCCCTGTGGGTGACTTCTTGTGATGTAGCCAAGTGGCTGCCATGGCCTGCCTGATCCTGCGGAGTGGAGACCCTTTTCTGCTGTTTCTTTCCTTGGTGAAACCTAGTGGGACGCTGAGGAGAAAAATAAGTAGTTTGGGGTGCGTGAGAGAAATGGTAAAAATAAGCATGAAGGGAAGAATCATATTAATTAAGTGTTTATTGATTTCCAAGAATATGAGAATAATAATAAAGTCATTTGGTGTAATATTGTTGCATTTCCCCCTATTGAGAACTCAGAAGATCTAGACATTGCACTTAACAGGCAATGAAACCTTTCTGTAAGCACAATGGGGACTTGACATCTAAAAACGGATGATTTGGTCATTTTGCCCAGTTTATGAAAGGGGAGAAAGTTGGGGAGTTAACTGAATTTCATTTCTGTTTTGTCTTTTTGGATTTGGAGAAGCAATGAAAAACCATTAATGTTTTTATCTTTATTATTTTGGTTGAGGTAGAGGAGAGAGCTGATAAATAAGGATGTTTGCTGGAAATACTAAACTTTAATAACTAAAAATAAAGAATATCCCAGAGCTTCTATTTTAAAACCTTTTGATGTTACAACTATATCTGTATTAAAACAGTCAATGGAAAAATGACAGACCAATAAAAGCAACAATTTCCAGTACTTCTGGACACAATTTACTACCTGATTGCCCTTTCTTTGTACTGCAGATAACTCCAATCTTATCTTTGATAGGCATAAATGTTGCACAAATACTTTACCCTCTCCAAGCCTTGGTTTCACCTATTATAAAATGTGGATAATACTAATGACATCATAAGGTTGTATTAAAAACTAAATGAGATAATATGAGTGTTGATATAAGCAGCCATTTATAGAATTTCTGCCTTACAAATTGCAGTATCTTTGAGAAGTAACATTCAATCCAATTGCAGCAAAAACTATTCTCATTGAGATATTGTATACTGATTGTGCTTATAGCTTTGGCCATTCTTACATATCTAGAATCCTCTTGTAAAGCATTAGAGAAGTTTGTAACTTGAGTCAGGGAATCATAAAACCATGGGAGTTGGCATCCTTCCTATTCTGGATGATCCTCTGTCAGATTTCTTCCATTTTTTACCTTATTGTCCTTGGAAGCTCTCCCCTCCAGGGATTCACTTGGACTTATGAATGCATTTGAAATCCTCTAAGAACAATGATAGAATTGTAAAATATATTTTATTTGAAGAAAAGTGGTAGGTGTGAGATGAAGGTCTTGAGGAATTGAGGCTCAGCATTGGCTGAGAGCGCCAGGCCTGAGCCAAGAGTGACATGAAAGACTGGCCCTTGCCCTTACTGCTAGCTCTCTAGTCAGACCTGTGAGATTGGGTGTCCTCTCTATTTCTTCCTTTGCAAATGACCTGCACTCTCTTCCTCCTAGGGTACTGTATAAGGTGTTGGAATGGGAAGGGCAGGGGAGCTTGGGATGACAGCACAATGGCTGGATTCAGGAAATGATGTTTTGCCATTCACTCTATGAATCTTTATGGAGTCCTTTTTATGTCAGGTCCTGTTCTGAGGAATCAAGGATGCACAAACACTGATATATTCCCTGTGATGGAGGAGCTTACATCCAATGAAGTAGTAGGTATGAAGCAAATATTCCTGTTGGATAATATGTGGACTTGTGCTTTCTTTCTTTGCCATTGACCTAAAAGTCTTGGCAGTTTCTCATTTTGTGGGACCCCAAGTAGTGAGGTTCCCATGTAATCATCCCATCCTCTTGATAGAGGGAGACTAAGAAAATATAGCAGCCTCCTCTTCTCCAGATCTCATCAGGAAAAAGAGGAGTTCTGAACAACATGAAATAAAAGACATTGCAACCAAGGCTACATAGTGCCCTCTATCATGGATCAGATGTGTCTGGTTGATTCAGGCATTTCTGCCCTAACCATAGGATCCATTGTTTGTCACCTGGTTCAGCTCTAGCTCATTTGACTGTGACCTGCTGCCTGGTCTCAGTTTTGAAGGAATCACCTCATTGCACCATTGATCCTAAGGCTGCCCTCCCAAAAAGTCCCTCTGGTGACCTCACTATTAACCTTTGTAGGTCCTCCTGTGTACGCAGAGAAAACAAGAGCTGATATTCTGATCTGAGAGGACAGTCAGTCAGTAGCATTTGGTGCAGCCTTTGAAGTTTTAACCAAAACACTGTCACTACCTTAGAGTTCTTTCTCAGGAGGCAAAATGTGCACCTGAACAGAATGGGCACAAAATCCATCCCCTGTCCACCACCAAAGCAATTGGCAAAATGTCTATGGCATCAAATAATACAAACTCTTCTATTTTAGATTTAATACTATAGCATAGATACCTTACCTTGATAACACATAGAGCATTCCAGTGTTCACCCATACTATAATGACCTAAACACTCTCCTTTTCTCTTATTTATGAGCATTTAGAATTTGTTTCTTTCATTTACAGACACTACTGCAATGAATATCCTTGCACATGTATCTGTATCGATGTGTGTAAATATTATAAAACTAACTTCTGGGGGCGCCTGTGTGACTCAGTCAGTTAAGTGTCTGACTCTTGATTTCGGCTCAGGTCTTGATCTCAGTATCATGAGATTGAACCCCAAGTAGGGCTCCAGGCTGGGCGTGGACCCTGCTTAAGATTCTCTCTCTCCCTCCCCTGCTTGCGTGGACATGTGCTCTCCCTCCCTCTTTCTCTCTCAAAAAAACAAACAAAAAACCCCCCCAAACCCCAAAAACCAAAAACTAACTTCTGAAAATGGAGCTACTTGCTGAAAAAAGTGATTCCAATGTGTATTCCCTCCTGTAGCAAATGAAAATTTCCATTTCCTCAGAATTTGTAAACCATCTCATTTATAAGCAAAATGTCATCTAATTGCTGTTTTACAACATTGAGAACTCAATGTGCAGAGACTTTACATACACAGTTGGAAGTGATTTAATTTATTCCTCACAACAATCATGTGAGGTAAGAATTGCTAACCATTTTACAATTGAAAAACGAAATATGAGGGGTGCCTGGCTGGCTCAGCCAGTTAAGTGTCCCACTGTTGATTTCAGCTCAGGTCGTGGTATCATGGTGTGTGAGTTCGAGCCCCGTGTGGGGTTCTAGCTGATGGTGCAGTACATTCTTGGGATTCTCTCTCTGTGTCTCTCTCTCTCTGCCCCCCCCCCAAAATAAATAAATACACACTTAAAAACAAAAAACACCACAAAATGTGAGATAGCTGTGTGTCCTTAGGCAAATGATTCAAGTATTCTGTGCTTCCATTCCCATAATAGAAAAATGGAAGTGGTAACATTGTTTTTATCTATTACATGAATGTGACGGTCAGTTTTATGTGCCAATTTAGGCTCTAGTCCCCAGCTATTCAACTGAACACTAATCTAGATATTGCTATGCTGAAGAAAGTTCATATCAGTTGACTTTAAGTGAGGGAGATTACCCTAGATAGTCTGGTTGGTCCAGATGCAAGATCTTAAGAGCAGAGCTGAGTCCTTCTTAAGAAAAAAGATATCCCATCTGTGGACTTAGTTGTGCCTGAGAGTTCTAGCATGTTTTCCCTGATGGTCTGCCCCACAGATTTTGGACTTGCCTAACCAGCCCCATAATCACATGAACTAATTCCTTTCAATAAAACTTACTATATTTACCTCTTACTGGTTCTGCCTCTCTGGTTGGACACAATGATGGTGTGTTAAAAATGAAAAGTACTATATACCTGAAAGTTATTTTATGGGTACCTATGAATTGTGTGATGTCATGATACAATTACAGTTTAAATGTGCTGGGGGAGGATGGCAGGATAGAGATAAATCTGAAAAGACTGGGTGATGGGATGTGGTTCCACAACCAGCAGGATGTATCATTTTGAATAAGCGACATAATCTCTCTGCAGACCTTCATTTCCTCACTTATTTGATATAAAGGGAAGAAGTTATACCAGATGGTCTCTAAAGACTATTTCAAGGCAAAAAAGTCTAGAATTATGAGTTTGCTTTATATCCATAATTAGGCTTTAAAATATTTTTTTTATTGTCAGCTTTAAGATATCATTTATAAACAGTAAAATTTGTTAATTAAAAACATTTTTTAAAGTTTTTTTATTTTGAGAGAGACAGAGACGTGTGAGTGGGGGAAGGGCAGAGAGAGAGGGAGAGAGAGAGAATCCCAAGCAGGCTCTGCACTGTCAGCACATAGCCTGATGTGGGGCTTGAACCTTGAAATTGTGAGATCATGACCTGAGCTGAAACTGAGAGTTAGACACTCAACTGACTGAGCCACGCAGGCACCCCAAATTTTGTCAATTTTAAGTGTACAGATGGACGACTTTTAACAAATGAACCCAGTAGTATAACCACCACATCATCCCACAAAGTTCCTTTCCTGCCCTTGCCATCCACCCCCTCCCCCAAGCTCGGTGCTTGGCATTCACTGCTTTCTGCCACTATAGCTTTGCCTTTATTGGAATGTCATATAAATGGACTCATACAGTCTGTATTCTTTTGTGTCTGGCTTTTTTCACTTAGCACAATGCTTTTGAGATTTATATCTTTGATTATCAGTGCATTTTGTTATAATTTCATATTGCTTATTTGTATTTTTTCTGAAAAAACTTTATGTCCTTTGCCCATTTTCTATTGGGTCATTGATCTTTTCCTTATAAATGTATAGAAGTATATTTTTAAAAACTCTGAATAATTTGGAAGTTTATTTTTTCTAAAACTGCTTGAGTGTTTTCTCCTACCAAATGGCCCACTTGAAACTGATGGCCACTGATGCTTGCCATTCTTTCTCTGTCTGCCCCCTGGAGGCGCTGTCTCCTTTCCACCTGCCAGCTTGCTGAGGACATGCAAAGGCTGGCCTGTTTCTCACAGTGCCCAGTGGGGAAGCGGGGTCTTGGGAGGAAAAGGAGAGCACAGAGCACCTGCTTATACCCCTGCTCCTTGGCATCCATCTTGGAGTGGGTGGTTCCTGGCTGCAGAGGGATAGCCCAGCCCTGCTTGTGGTCTCTGAACCTGTGCTCCCAGCCCTAGGACCAGAGACCCTGCATGACCAAAACCTGGATTTGTTTGAGCTTGCAGCCAAGCCTCCTTTTAGTCCTGTGCACTAGGATGTACCAAGGAGTGGGAGAGGGACTGTCCTCTTATCCCCTTCTGCTTCATTACCCACCACAAACACTCAGGAAACCTTCACAGGGCAGGGCATTCTCCCAAGTGGCCACTTCAAAATCCTTAGTGTAAAGGGAACCCTGTGCAGGTCTGTGGGGCTGGGAGAACAAAGGGTGATGGGAAATCCACTGGGATAGACAAGGTCACTCCAGCCCCAGAGGCCACCTGGATGCCACCCCTATCTCTCCTCTTTCCCAGGTTGCCCCATCTTGTTGGGGTGCTGGGAAGAACCCACATCTCCCACGGCCCCACTCTGTGCAACTAGAAGAAGGGCAAGCCTTGATCAACTGCACTGGGATGGTTGTGTGCCCAGCTTCCCAGAGAGATCATGTAGCCCATAGGGGTTAGGGTCTGTTGGGTGACATTGTGTGGGTGACTTCTGTTGGGTGACTTCAGATACACTTCCTGGCAAGTGGGCTATCCTGTACCAGCCTCGGTGCCTAACCACCAAGCACTCAGTACCTGGGGAAAATGCATCTTGTTTTTCAAACATCCCATTGGACACCCACTAAGGGCATACAACCTGCTTGTCAATTAGGGTTACCCTGTTTACTCCCCTAGTAAGCTTTCAGTGAGCTTCTCAGATAGGCACTACTAGATTTTGTTCTTCAGCTTTTTTATTTTGTCTCTATCTAGCACAAGAGGATATACAAGCAGCAAGGATACTTTAAAATAAGAATGGTGACAATGGTGAAAAATAGTCTTGGTTCAACTCTAGTGCCTACTTTGTCTCTAATTAAAGCTATTAACTGAAAACGTTTGTACAACAGTTCTCCTCTGATAGTTTCAAGTGTGTTTGTGTTCCAGAGTTTTTTGTAGAGCTCTTTGAAATTCCCATGGCTTACCTACTGAATCTTCTTTGGAATCTTCAAATTCCCAAATCTTTAGAGACTTGGTGGTCACTCACTGGCCAGAGGCATTGTAAAAGGATTCTGGAGATTTCAACTTTTCAGCAAAAGCCCTTCCGAATCTTTAGTCTGATTCTGAGATCCCCAAGGAGACTGGGGACCTTTCTTTGGATCTTTCCTGTGAAAGGACCATATGCTCAGTCCTCTGATGCAACACAAATAGCTACTGTGAAGCTCAGTGGTGAGTTTCAATGAGTTTATTCCACTATCTGTGGCCCAGGTAGGCTTGGACTTACAGGTATGTTTGTGTTATGTTTCATATTCAAATGCACAGTTCCAGCAGTATACTTTATAAATTGTACTCTTTGTCTTCCTTGTAATCTGTCAAGCACCAAGTATAGTGTCATCTCTGTGTGGATGCTCTACAAATGCTAATTGGTAGTGATCAGGATAATGATGTTGACAAATGACTCCATGAAACTGATGAATCATTTGGTGGAAGAGGCCTGGTACAGCAGTTATGTAATGTTGCTTCACCAAACAGGTAATGTTTCATACCTCAGAGCAACACAAAACATTTTGCCTGCCAGTGTTACTATTTCTAGTCAGAGCCAAAAAGGCATTTTGGGAGAGAGAAGAATTTTTGAATTACATTGACCCTGTAAACAGACCCTTAAAGAGATACCACTGTTTCCTTTGGTGCAGGCTCGACCAAAACCTGGCTCCCACATGAGTTGGCAATCAAACAAAAAGATGAAGCAAGAAGTTTGAATCAGCTAATAAAAATAAATAAACTAATTCATATGAGTATTAGCACTTCAGTCTCTAGTCTACCATTCATCCATCCAGTGTATTTTAAAAAAAAATTTCAATGTTTATTTATTTGTGTGAGAGAGAGACAGAGCATGAGTCAGGGAGGGACAGAGAGAGAGAGGGAGATACAGAATCTGAAGCAGGCTCCAGGCTCTGAGCTGTCAGCACAGAGCCCGATGTGGACCTCAAACTCACAGACTGTGTGAGATCATGATCTGAGCTTAAGTTGGAAGCTTAACCAACTGAGCCACCCAGGCGCCCCAAAAATTCTTTTAATTGGAATGTATCTATAAAAACATAGATAAATACTAAAGAAGCAAATTCCTAATACTTGCTTCCTGGCAAATTCATAATTAGTTTCAGTTAATCTTTTATGCGTGTAGGTGAGGCAAAAAAAAAAAAAAAAGTACTCATATGTTTTCTAAAAAATTAAGTTTTTTCTTAATTTTTGAACAAAAATTAAGTCATAACCTTAAATTAAAATGTAAAACAAAAAGTTTAGCTATATTAGAATTTTGAACATAAGGGATTTTTTTTTTTTTTTTTCCTACAGAAGCCAAAATCTAGTACTTAGATGTATTTCTTTGGACAATCAGGCTCATCATTTTAGATCAGGGGTTGCAAATTCCTGGCCAAATCTGGCTCATAGACAGGTGTTATTCAGTTTGAATAATCATTAACACTTTACAAATGTGAAAACGTCACCACTCTCCAGTTATCAAAACCCTCACCAAACTCTACTGATTCTCCTTCAGCATTTATTTGCATTTTCCTGCAGGGTCCTCCAAAACATTTCAATTTGCAGCTGTCTTAGATGACATTGATGTCTCCTTGCTTTTGCTACTCTGATGAAAACATTCTGAGTCAAGGAATTAGAGGGTAAACTCTGTTCCCACCATGGATTCCACATCATGGCCTGTCTTGTTCTGAGTATGAGCAAAAGGAGACAAAAATAGCAGAGGATGATTACCCTCTCATAATCAAAGAAGGGCAAATTGAAATAAACTATCTTTCTATTTTTAACCTTTCAGTTTTGCAAAAGTAAAAAGATTGATGATATTTAGGGTTGGGGAGAGTGTGGAGAAATGGAAATTTGCTGGTAATTGATGCAATTTTTCACCAAAAAATTGGAAATGTTTGTAATTTTAAAAATGTACATACTATTTGCCTTAGCAAATCCACTTTTATCCTACAAAATAGTCACATAAATATGGAGATTACAGGGGCGCCTGGGTGGCGCAGTCGGTTGAGCGTCCGACTTCAGCCAGGTCACGATCTCGCAGTCAGTGAGTTCGAGCCCCTGCGTCGGGGTCTGGGCTGATGGCTCAGAGCCTGGAGCCTGTTTCAGATTCTGTGTCTCCCTCTCTCTCTGCCCCTCACCCGTTCATGCTCTGTCTCTCTCTGTCCCAAAAATAAATAAACGTTGAAAAAAAAATTAAAAAAAAATATGGAGATTACATATTTAACATTTTCAAAGACTTTAATTGTAGCATAGTTTGTAATAGCAAAAAAGCCCCCCCAAAAACGAAAACAACAAAACACAAAAAACCTGCAAGTAAACTAAATGTTCATCAGTAGGGAAGTACATATGATGGTTTATTTAAAAATTTTTTTAAAGGTTTTATTTATTTATCTTGAGAGAGAGAGAGTGGGGGAGAAGAGAGAGAGAGAGAGAGAGAGAGAGAGAGAGAGAGAGAGAATCCCAAGCAGGCTCCACGTTGTCAGTGCAGTGGGGCTTGAACTCATGTACCATGAGATTATGACTTGAGCCGAAGTCAGATGCTGAACTGACTGGGCCACCCAGGTGCCCCTACATATGATGGTTTAAAAGAAGGAACTGGGGGCGCCCGGGTGGCTCAGTTAAGCATCTGACTTTTGCTCAGGTCACGAACTCACAGTTTGTGAGTTTGAGCCTCACATTGGACTCTGTGCTGACAGCTCAGAGCCTGGAGCCTGCTTCAGATTCTGTATCTCCCTCTTTCTCTGTCCCTCCCCACTCCTGCTCTCTCTCTCTCTCTCTCTCAAAAATAAATAATAAACTTTAAAAAAATAAATAAAAGAAGGAACTATATCTGTGTGTAATAGAAATGTATCAAGGATATGATATAACTCTGCAAAAAACAAACTTTAGAACACTTCAAAATATGATTCTATTAAAAAACAAAATAACTGTGTGTGTGTGTGTGTGTGTGTGTGTGTGTGTGTGTGTGTGTGTACTTTGACATGTAGATGTAGGTATATGCATAAAATCTGGAACAGTGGTACTCAACCCAAAGAGATTTGCCCTGCCCTCCCAGGGGACATTTGACAATGTCTGCAAATGTTTTTGAATTTCATGACTGAGGAAGGGTGCTACTGGCATCTAGTAGGTAGAGGCCAGGATGCTACTAAACACCTTACAGTGCATAGGGTGGTTCCTACAACAAAGAATTAACTGACTCAAAAAGTGAATAGTGAGGTTGAGAAACTCTGGTCCATGAAAATAGGTAGCAAACTATCTCTAGTAATGATAGGAGGATTAGGAGATTCTTTTTATATTATTTTGTATTTTGACGTATTATATATTTTTTTCAATGTATTCCTTTGAAATTAAAACAGATGAGAAATGCAGGGCCTTAGCTGGGACAGAATTACAGTTGTAGGAAGGCCTTAGACATTTTCATTTGCAAAGATGGGTGGTCCACATCCAACAGTTGGGGAAATAAGCAATAATTAAAAAATTAAGGCAAAATAGTTATTTTAGGTAAAGAAGTATTTATCAGTAGATAATGAGTTTGCCCTCTCAGTACCGATTTTGTTCCATTTAGATAGTTTCACACTTAGCCAGTGCTTCCTTCCCCAGGATTACCTCTATAAAGCACTCAGGTGCTATCTGCGCACATGCCCTCTCCTACACTGCACAGGACTGAGAAATTTCACACCCCCATTTGGCAAGGAGCTAAGGGCAGCCTCAGGTCAACAGTCACCAGGAACAGAAGCCCCAAGTCCCCTCAGCCCTTGTGGAACTGAGATTCTGCCAACAACCATGTGAGCGTGAAAGCGAATTCTTTCCTGGCCAAGCCTGTCAGACAACAGAATTACAGCCTTAGGGGGGACCCTGGAGCAGAGGAACTGCTTAGTTGTGTCTAGACTCCTTCCGGGAAAAACTGTGAGATAAGGAATGTGTGTTGTTTTGAGCCGCTAGGTTTGTGGTAATTTGTTATGTAGCAATAGGTAACTACTAAAGTCATGAAGTTTTACAACTTTTGACAGTGAGTCAGAGCCAAAGCAGCGGCCAGTCACTGAATTTTCTTTCAACAGAGAGGGCACTGTACTGTCATTCCACTAGCCCAAGAGAATGCCGGGCAAATTCATGGGTTAAATGGAACCACAGGAAACAAATAAAATCACCTCCATTACAGGTTAGGGCATTTAAGATGTATGTGTGTGATTGATATAAGCACTACCCTCAAGTGCGTTTTCCCTCTAAAATCTTTTAATCTGGTTTATAGTTGTTACCACAGACTATCACAGAGAACCCAGGACTGACTTATGGCCCACCCGGCTCCCTGTGGTGTCTAAAAGCTTCCCGGGGAACAGTGCCCTATAGAGAGGGAGCTTTTCTTACCTTTATGGAAAATAAGTTTCCAGAGAACTATATCTGTTGAAAGTATTTTGAGGTGAATCATAGTCTGTTGACAGAAATACATAAAGCCTAATGTTTCAAGATTTCAGGAATGAGTATCATCAGGTAAAGAGTACTCTAAAAAAACTGATGTTCCCATGGCATGAGGACCTCCTGCACAGTTGTCACCTTCAAGGGTATCTTTTTTTAGCCCTAACTTTACTCTCTTCTTTATATGAGCTATGATGTTATGTCAAATTCCTTTAAAGAAGACAGATCATTACTCTGATTTTTAATAACACTAATAAAATAGGTAACAGTGAGAATTCTTACTTTCTGATCACTTACTCTATGTCAGGCATTGTTTTTAGTGATTGGTATAGATGACCTCAGAACACATTCCTTAAAAGAATGTGGTTAATAGTAATCATTACCATTTCACAGAGGAAGAAACTGAGTTTTTTGGATGAAACATGACTTGCCCAAGATCAAGTAGCCATCTGGAAGGGGGCAGGGAATAATAACCAAGCAATTTGGTTAGTTCAGAATTGAATATCTCCCCACAAAATGACTCGCCTATATCATTTTTTAAATCAGTCAATGTATAATTTACATACCATAATGTATATAATTTTCCATATACTTGGATGAGTTTTGAAAATTTATACAGCTGTGTAATCACCACCACAATCTATATTTAGACCTTTCCATCATCCTAAAATGTCCCCTGTTTCCCTACCTAGTCAATTCCCACCTCTACCCCCAGGCAACTGCTAATCTGTTTTCTATCCTTCTAGATTAGATTCATCTTTACTAGAATTTTTGTATAATCAGACTTCTAGAGTTGTACTCACTTGTGTCTGGCCTTTTTCACTCAACATAATCTTTTAAGATTTATCAATACCGTTAAGTGTATTAGTAGCTCCTTTTCATTGCTACATGCTACTCCTTTATATGGTTGTATATTTTATTCACTTAGGAGGCCAGCATTATCCTAATAACAAACCCAGACAAAGATATTTCAAGAAAATAAAACTAAAATCACCAAATCATTAAATCATCAATTCATTAATTCACCAAAATTCCTTGCGAATATATACAGGAATCTTCAGTGAGATATTAGTAAGTGGAATCCAGAAATACATAAAAAGGACAATATACGCTGATCACACTTTATTTTTTAGAGCAGTTTTAGGTTTACCACAAAGTTGAGCAGAAGTTATAGAGAGTTCCCATATAACCCCACCCCCACACATGTAAGCCTTCCCCGCTATCAACATCCTGCACCAGTGTGGTACATTTGTTACAATCCATGGCCCTACATTGATACATCATTATCAGCCAAAGTCCATTGTTTACCTTATGGTTCATTCTTGGTGTTGTATATTCTATGGGTTTT